CCACAAAACAGACAGAAGATATTAGAAACACCAATCAAGTAGAACACAGCAAACTCCAAGACCAATAAACACAGACCAAGACTCCCAACCAATCAGGATGAAGAAAAAACCATTCTGGCACAGCAGTAGGCTAGCCCCAAATTTAAAACTGAAAGAACTGTAAAAGTCTGACTCACAGACAAACACTATACAGAAGCCTGATGATGGCAGATGAGATTCTGCCGAAACGTTGCTACAACTTTAAAAGCACAACTATAATGACGTGGGAAAATACCCGAACAAAGCTGAATACCATATAGATAGATAGATAGATAGATAGATAGATAGATAGATAGATAGATAGATAGAGATATATAGATATATAGATACACACACACACACACACACACACACACACACACATACATACAGATGGCACACTGGGACACACCATATACCAGAAGAAAACACACACCAACCGCTACCTCAACGCCCAAGTACTGACAGCTAACGGCTTCCACAAAAGCAAAATCACCAGCTTGATCCACAAAAACACACTGAGACATAACGGAGACCTAGAAGATGAACAGACCTATGGAACAGCTGTCCTGCCCTACATAAGAGGTACTACAGACAAAATCAGTAAGATACTAAACAGGCATCACATCAAGACTGCCTTCAAAACAGACAGAAAAATAGCAGCCATCCTAAGAAACCCCAAAGATAAAATTGACCTGGAAAACCAAGGCATATATGAAGTGCCCTGTGCATCATGCCCTGCCACATACATTGGACAGACCAATAGAAGAATAAGTACCCGCCTGGATGAACACAAAAATTCAGTTAAAAAAGCTGGAACACACTTCCTCACTAGTCCAACACATGAAAGCAACAGGTCATAGTATCGACTTCAATGGCACCAAAACCCTAGCCACTATAGAAAACCCCACCCACAGAATTATCAGAGAAGTCATAGAGATTGAAAAAAAGACATGAAAGCATGAATAGAAGAGATGATTCCACCAGACTGTCAATTATTTGGAAGCCTGCACTCACAAACAAAAAAATCTCCACACCACAATCCAGGCAAACACCTGGGCACAAACAGATCCCCCCTGATACCTCCAGCTCAAACACACCCCAACCAGGCACCCAGATGAAACCTAGCTTCCTAATAAATGACAGCCGTCCATTTACTCAGAGCCAAGCCGCACTAAAAGCCTCCAATACAGGAACACAATGTTGCCAGCCAACCAAGACAAAAAAAAAAAAGCCACAAAACAGACAGAAGATATTAGAAACACCAATCAAGCAGAACACAGCAAACTCCAAGACCAATAAACACAGACCAAGACTCCCAACCAATCAGGATGAAGAAAAAACCATTCTGGAACAGCGTAGGCTAGCACCAAAATTAAAACTGAAACAGCTGTGAAAGTCTGACTCACAGATGAACACAATACAGAAGCCTGATGATGGCAGATGAGATTCTGCCGAAACGTTGCTACAACTTTAAAAGCACAACTATAATGACGTGGGAAAATACCCAAACAAAGCTGAATACCATACATGTATATATATGTATATATAATATAGTGCAATATTTATGCAATATCAGAGGTTTTCAATTCAATTGTATAGAATGTGAAGGATGTGTATTTTTAACATTTACGTATAATGTACACTGAAGATGGCATTTAATTTCGTTGTGTGAGGTGCAATGACAATAAAGTAAAGTAAACTAAGCTAAACTAAACTAAATATGTGCATGTAATAGACACAGACACAAATACACACCAGTAGTCCCCTCTTAGTGACCAAAATTGGGATTGGCACTTCTATTGCTAAGCTCTGCAAACACTAAGTAGAAAATTACATGATCGCAATTGGCTTACAACCTCACTTTCCCTTCTCTATAACTCTGCGTGTTAGAAGCTAGTTGCAAACCACTCAGATGATGATCATGTGACTACAGGACCCTGCAATGGCTGTAAATGTGAGGCTTAATGGCAAAACTGTTGGGAGAAGGTTTACACCTTTGTTAACTTTGAATGGTCGCCAAACAAGGCAACTGATAAGTGAGGAGTTATCTGTACTGCAGATATTCTTAAAGGGTACAAGAGAGGGAGATTTGTGGCAGTCAAACCCTAGTCTTATTTTCTTCTCCCCACTGAAATGCCCATTGACATTAATCAGAATGGAAGCAGCATTTGTAAGAGATTCCTACTTCCATTGCAAAAATAAATGGTGCAGCACCTTATTCAATTCACGCTGTAGCTAAAGTTCAGGAATACATTTGGAACAAAATGAAGCTTAAACATAGCAAGAAATGCACACAGGTAAGCAAATCGACTTCAAATATTTAAATCAGACTCAATCCAAAGATCAACAAATGCTTGAATAGAATCAAAGAGCCATGGTACCGCAGTGGTTAGAATGCAGTATTGCAGGCTAATTCTGCCAACTACCAGCAGTTCGATTCTGACCAGCTCAAGGTTGACTCAGCCTACCTCACAGCGTTGTTGTTGTCAGAAAAAATTGGAGGAAGGAACGCTGAGCTCTGTCAAGAAAGGAAGTTTATAAATTTGACAAACAGCAACCAGAACTGGGCCATCTCATAAATACCTGTTTGCATGTGTAGCTGCATTGATCGCACTTGAATTTCTTTTCATTTCTGTGTATCTTCTTGTGTTGTTGCAGAGCGTAACGCTCATGGAAGGCACTATCGCAATAATTGCACTTGACCGGTATCTCAATGTAAGAATGCAGGTTTCGCAGGTGGATATCTGTAACAGGAGTGGTATGTTTTTTACATTTCCCCCTCAAATACTTTGAGCCTTCATATGGATTTGCCTTAATAAGTCACAGTTGATGAGTCCCAAGCAGGTGTATTGAACAGAGAAAAAAAAAAGACATTAAAACAAATTTTAAGCTCACATAAATCCCATGCAATGACTAGTACATCCATAGAAAAAGAAAAGTCCTTGCAGCACAATAGTTAGAATGCAGTATTGCAGGCTGACTCTGCCCACTGCCAGAAGTTCAATCCTGATCGACTCAAGGTTGACTCAGTCTTCCATCCTTCCGAGGTTGGTAAAATGAGGACTCAGATTGTTGGGGGAAATATGCTGACTCTCTTAAGCACTATGCTCTGTTAAGTCCTTAATTATTCACAACCATTCGTTTAGTGACCATTAGAATGAGGAAATCCAGAAAAAATTGAACATGCCCAAGCCTCCATGAAAAAGTAAAACAGTATAATATTTAAGCAATGATACAACCTGAATTGCACCTAAGGAGCTTGTGAATTGCAAATAAATTTAGTTAAAAGGGTAATATGAGACTGACTGAATGACTTCAAGGGAGATGCACCAACTGAACTTTGATTAGGATTCAGACTTAGAGACTTCACAAAAAGAAGGGAGGGAGGGAGGGAGGGAGGGAGGGAGGAAAGAAGGAAGGAAGGAAGGAAGGAAGGAAGGAAGGAAGGAAGGAAGGAAGGAAGGAAAGAAAGAAAGAAAGAAAGAAAGAAAGAAAGAAAGAAAGAAAGAAAGAAAGAAAGAAAGAAAGAAAGAAAGAGAAAGGAAGGAAGGAAGGAAGGAAGGAAGGAAGGAAGGAAGGAAGGAAGGAAGGAAGGAAGGAAGGGAGGGACGAAATAAAAAGGGAGAAAGGGAAGAAAGAAGAAAAGAAAGAATAAAGAGAGAAGGAAAGAAAGGAAGGAGGGAGGGAGGAAGATAGAAAAGAAGGGAAGAAAGAAGAAAGGAATGGAGGGAGGAAGGAAAGAAGGAAGGAAGGGAGGGAGGTTTCTGATTAAGAAGAGCAATAATTCCTGGCCCCTTTTAAATATACAAAAAGCAAATGCAATGGAGCATATTCACTTCCTCCCAAGTAGCCAAAAGGTGGTGCTATTTCGCTTTCTTACAAAATTCAGCCCTGAATTCAGTCTCAGGAAGAACTGGGGGGGAAAATGATCTTTGCAAAAGCATCTTCCAAAGAACTCACATACATACCATTGAAAGAAATAGAGAAAACCCTAACAATTACACATTTAGTTAATCTCCCTGGTACTCAGTATGATCCCCTGGCTGGGATTATAATGCCTTTGGTCAAGGTGGCTGGAAATTTGGTAAACTATAATCTCAAAACACTGGACAGCATTAAATTGGAAAGGCTGTATTAACCCCCCCGTTTCTTGCCATTAACTTTTTTTATTCCTCAGCAGACTCTCCCTTTTAAGATGCCATATTTTGGTTTGTTCACCTAACAATCAATCAATTTGTGTTCTAAAAATCTGGGCCTATATAGGGCATGCACAAAGAATGGAAGAAAATGTCACAACGGTGGCTGAAAAGACGAGACTGAAGCTATGCCTGTTTTTACATATCTGTTGACACATATAAAAAGGGGGCAAGTTTTTGACTGTACATTGCCGTCTTGATTATATATATATATATATATATTTGCCTCTGCTGTGGATGTCCTTGCCCTATTGAGTGCTCATCATTCACACACAAAGAGACTTCTTCTTGAAGCCACTTCTGGATTCATAAAAGTCAACTAAGCAAATGTCCTGTCATTTTCTTCTCACCATCTCCGGGATAAAGAGTTCTCAAGTGCCGGTTTTTAATTGCGTCGCATACATCAATGGGGTTGATTACAAAATGAAGAAATAGCTGAAATGAACTTTGTTCACCTCAAACCCTGGAAATAAACCCATCGAAGATGGCATTGATGTGCTGAGTGTTTTGCTCTCTAATAGTTTTCAAAGCCACGCTGCCTTCTCCTATTTCATTAAAAACCTAGTTAAACCGTAGATTTTCCTAATGCTTTTTTTCCTCTCTCAGAGATATATCTTCTCTGCCTTGCAGTTTGATCTGAAGAATTTGTAAAATTAATAGATGGCTTCTTTTGATGGTCTCGCCTGCTTTTTCCCCGTTCAGTTTTAAAATGTATATTAATACTCAGGCTCACAACTTAAATCAAATGACACATCACCGATACAATGTCATCTTTTTGCATTGTACTTATATCCAGGGGTGGGATTCTACCAGTTCGGGCGAACCGGATATTAAAGTTATATCTGGTTCGCCAAACCGGTATTTCAACCGACCGGCTGTCCCTGCCCACCTCCTCCCAGGAATCTCAACACGGCCCATTTTAGATGGAGGTAAGTGAAGGGTCCGTGCAGAGGCTCTGGGAGGGGGAAAATGGGCCTTCCGGAAGTCCGGAAATGGGCCTGTTTCCGGCTTCTGGATGGGGCCTCCAGAGCCTGGGAGAGGCCGTTTTTGCCCTCCCAGAGGCCCGGGGGAAGCCTCCGGACCCTTGGGAGGATGAAAACGGCCTTCCCCCGAGCTCTGGAGGCCCACCGGAAGCTGGAAACAGAAAGTTCCGGTAGGCCACGCCCACCCAGCAACCGGGCAGCGAACCGGTTGCTGGGATTCTTGAATCCCACCCCTGCTTATATCCATGTGCAAGTATGCTAGGGAACACTTGCAATGGGCTAAGAAGGGCTGGAAAACATAATGAGAAGAATTCAGGCCAATCTAAAAAAATAATAATCAATGAAAATTAAAAAAAAAAAAAGACCATAGTGCCAAAGTATTGGTGACCTTCCTAATTAAAACACAGGAACTGAGAACCTAAACATCTCAGGAAAAAAATGAGTGTGAAAGTGTCAGGAGCATGCTAAGCCCAAATGATTGATATTGGACATAGAAACAATGTTCACTGGTCACATCTTTGAGGGAGAAATCAGGTTTTATTTACTGCAAAAAGGCAAGAGCTTGCTTTGGAAATTAATGAACCAGAGCACAATACTTTGGGGATAGATTTATTAAGTGAAGCTGGATACTGACAGTGACCTTCATTCTTTATGTACGTTTACAGAAAGATTTTTTTGGGGGGAAAAACGTTATGAAACTTACTTAAATCACCTTTCCGGGCAACGGAGGTGGCACAGTGTGGACACTGGTATTTTGGTACATTTTCCCCATGTTTATGCAAAACATGGAACTTCAAAGTCCCAGCCTGTGTGAATCTGGCTTTGCAAATCACACATTCAAAGGGTTTTTCACCTAGAAGGAAACACATTTACTTGTAAGACCTGGTGAACTAGAGAGCAAAACATCATAGCTGAAAACGATAGCATATTTTCCAGATCCTAATTTTTGCATCCTCACCCTGAACGGATGCTGCATCCATGCCCCCATAACACTGTGGGGCTTCTGTAGGATTTCAACTTCTGTTACAGTAGAAAAGAAAGGCTTCAAACATGGATTCCTGAGCTATGGGACAGACGTTTTCTCACTGATGTGAATTCTTGCCCATCTGACCACCTAGATATCTTTTTAGGTTATCTCACTTCCTTGCCACCATTTCACTGAACTCCATTTAGATTAGATTGGAATGGAATAGAATTAGAAGGGACCTTGGAGGTCTTCTAGTCCAGCCCCCTCTTCAAGCAGGAGACCCTATACCATTTCAGACAAGTGGCTGTCTAGTAGTCTCTTCTCAAAAACTTCCAGTGATGGAGCACCCACAACTTCCGAAGGCAAGCTGCTTCACTGGTTAATTGTCCTCACTCTCCTTAATTACAGGTTGATTCTCTCTTGGATTCGTTTCCAAATAATTTTCTCTTGTTTTGTCTCCAAATCCACTGAATACCCAACTTGGCTATTCTGGAGTACCATCTGCTTCCAACTGTTCCGCCTTGCTTTTTTTCGCTCACGTGCCTGTCTTTCTTCCTTTAGTGGCTCAGCATCTCATAGCCCCACAGGACCAGGCATTAGCATTACTCTGCTTTAATGGCAGCCATTATAGTTTTAATACGTACCTGAGTGAGTTACCATATGTCTTTTCAATTTGTAAGTGTCCCTACTAGCATAGGAGCACACCGTACAACTGTAAGGACGCTCTCCTGTATGTGAGCGAATGTGGCGCTTCAATTTGCTGGCCTGCAATTTACAAAAGAAGATTCTGAATTACAAGTACATGGAGGGTGCTGCTGAAACCATTCAGTTAAAAAGAAAAAAGTTGACTTTTTAGAAACGCTGTTAAGTGCTTATCACTAGAACATGCCGTCGCATCTTCTAAAGCAGGGGTGTTAAACTCAAGGCTCGCGGACCGGATGTGACACCCCCGGGTGCTTAGATCTGGCCCGCTTAGATCCGCCCTGGAAACAGCGAAGGACCGGCCTGCAGGGCCTCTGCCAGCGAAAACGGAGCTCGGTGGGGCTGCGTGTGGCCCTTGCAAGCTCCATTTTTGGCCACAACAGCTTCCTGCAGCCCTCTGTCAGCAAAAACAGAGCTCGGAAGAGGGTATTTTCTCTGGCAGAAGTTTGCAGGAGGCTGTCATGGCTGAAAATGGACCTTGGGAGCCTGTTTTCGCTGGCAAACCACTTGGGCCATAGGTGCTTTCAACACGAGTGACTATGCCCACCCTGGCCATGTTGGTCAAGCTGGCCATTCCCATCCTCGCCAGGCCAACCCCAGTCCCCCGAGGTCAAACACAACTCTGATGCGGCCCTCAATGAAATTTGACACCCCTGTTTAAGGGCCATATTGGCTGAGGAGTTCTGGGAGTTGAATTACACACACATCTTAAACTTGCCAAGCTTGAGAAAGACTGAATTTGGTGTCACTGCACCCATTGAACAACTATGATTAGCCTCTACATCAGGGGTGTCCAACCTTGGCAATTTTAAGACTTGTGGACTTCAACTCCCAGAGTTCCTCAGCCAGTCTTAAAATTGCCAAGGTTGGACACCCCTGCTCTACATCATTCTCTTTTACAATAGTTCTGCAGCATTCTGAGCCTCTGAGTAATCTGGTGTTTGTGAAAGCATATATAGTGCAACAGTTGTTTTCCATTAGTCCATCTTCTGGAGGCAGCAATTGCAAAACCGACCCAATTGCAAAACCGAAACTTTCCCGGCTCCATTTTTGCTAGCAGAGGGCTGCAGGAGGCCATCATGGCTGAAAACAGAGTGCCAGCTTTGGAAACTTTCAGATTCAGAATTTAACAGATAATCAGAGTTGGAAGGGACCTTGTAGGTCATCTAGTCCAACCCCCCTGCCCCGGCGGGAGACCCTAAACCATTTCTGACAAATGGCAGTCCAATCTCTTCTTAAAAGTCTCAAGTAATGATGCTCCCACAACTTCCGAGGGCAAGCTGTTCCATTGGTTGATTGTTCTTAACCAATGAGTTTGATTTCCCAGATGTGCCAGTTTACTACTCTAATAAAAGGAAACTTTGAGAACGTCTGTCTCGGAGTTATTGACTGGAGCTGAGCTTTTCTGGAACACTGACACAGAGCTTCGATGAGTGATGCCCACCTTGGCCACACCCCCGGCCCAAGGTCAAACACAACCCAGATGCGACCCTCAATGAAATCGAGTTGTGACACTCCTGTTCTAAAGCAAGGGTCTCCAAACATGGCAACTTTTCAATACTTGTGGACTTCAACTCCCAGAATTCAGGGAGTTAAAGGAGCCATTCACGTCTCTCCCTTATCATCTCCTCCCTGCGTGCCCTAGGACGGGGATGGGCCTGGGTCTTCCTCTGACTGCCCAGCCGGCCTCTGCCCTTCCCCAGCCTCTTCCACAACCTCCGGAGCCACACTTCCATTCCCTGACAGCTGTTCCTCCTCTCCCTCGGAGTCAGTCTCCAACAGGGGCATGACAGCTTGACTGTGCATAAAAACCCTATAAACTATGGCTAATTATCCAAATTGCATAGCAAAGCTGAGCCATTGGCAATTTTGTGAGTATATGCAGCAATGAGAGACAACAGATATACACAGATCTTCACATCCTTTTATATTGCTCCCCTTTTATTTAACATTGCTTCTCCAAGTTTGTATGTTGTCTCCAAAAATGAAAAAAAAAAAGAAAGAAAATATTGTTTAAAGAATTCTGCAATCTGCTCTCCCTTGACTGACATCTCATTAGTTTCTAAAAAAATAAATCAATGCTAAGGGCTCCCACTTCATCCATGGAACATTCACAAGAATATTTTAACGCTGATTAGAAACAAACTACTGTTTTCAAGAAGAGTTGAAAGGGGTTTAAGCTTCTTGTCTTTCTTTCATCCCGCAAGGCAAACAGATTTCTGAACACGATACAAAATCTGTTTACCAGAAGCAGGAATGAAATGCAGGTATTAAGACAAGCCTCAAAGGCTCTTCTCAAATCTCCCAGCCGTCTGAAATATGGAGGATGACCTCAAACAGGGATTCCTTGCAACCATCTTGGTTTTCATTCCACATTAGATTAAACCCCGCATTTGCTTACTACTTCTAGAATGTATTTTTCTGGGATTTTGTTGTCCTTGCTTTAGAAAGTGTCTTGCAGAGGCTTGTTTTCCGCCATGTAAGGTTTATTTGTTGTAAAGAATTAGCACCACTGTTTAAGAAAAGGACAATTTTTTTAGCAAGTCTGAAAGGGATAAAGGCGAAAGGTCTGTAAACCAAGTCCTACAGGGAACAGTTAAAGATCTGAATATATGTAATCCATAGAAAAGATTCAAATACTTTGGCTACCTCATGAGAAGGAAGGACTCACTGGAGAAGAGTCTAATGCTGGGAATGTTTGAGGGCAACAGAAGAAGAAGGGGATGACAGAGAATGAGGTGGATGGATGGAGTCACTGAAGCAGTAGGCGTGAGTTCAAATGGACTCCAGAAGATGGTAGAGGACAGGAAGGGCTGGAGGAATGTTGTCCATGGGGTCGCAATGGTCGGACACGACTTCACAACTAACAACAACAACATAGTCAATTGTAAGTAGCTGTTTAGCAACCACAACTTGGTTATTAAACAAGGGGTCACTAAGTGAACAGCAACTGCTCTTATGATCTTACTTCACGTTTCTTTTGCTTTACAGACTTGCAAAGATTTTAAATGGAAGGATTGGTAGGAAAGTTATTTCTTCATTATTAAATGTTTAACAGTTGCTAAATGCAGGGTACCTGTAAGGGAAGATGTAACAGCAGTCTTTAAGCAAATAAAATCTAACACTAAGTGAAAACTAAGATGGCTGTAGACAATTCCTGTTTGAGGTCCTACCTTCCATATTTCAGGTGACTGAAAGACTTTGAGAAGAGCCTTTGAGGCGTATCTTAGTGCCATTTCCCCGAAGGGAAGATATTCAGGCTAGATATCAGGAGAAACTTTCTAACTAAGCAACATGTCAGCCAGTGGAAAAGGGTCTCACAACAAATGGCCAGTTCTCCATAACTTAGGGTCTTCAATCAGAGGCTGGATCAGATCTGGGCGTTTTACAACACCCCCCCCCCCCCCCCCAGATCACATCCAGCCCTTTGTCTTACCCTGTCCAGCCAATGTGAGGTCAATCGGAAATTAGAAAAATAAAAATAAGTGTATGACATGCTCACAATTATAATTGCATTGCTTTTACTTTGAAGGTGATTGCTGTTTTTTTGTTTTTTCAATTTATGTATATGCATGCATGCCTTCTTGGGAAAATTAATTGGACTAGCTCAGGGGTATCAAACTCAAGGCCCAGGGCTGGATCCGGCCCAAGGGGTGCTTAGATGTGGCCCACAGGGCCGCCCTGGAAACAGTGAAGGACAGGCCCCTGGTGCCTCTGCCAGCGAAAGTGGAGCTTAAGAGGGCCATGGGCAGCCCTCACGAACTCAGTTTTCGCTGGCAGACAGTTTCAGGAGGCCGTTGCTGCTGAAAATGTAGCTCGCGACCCCGTTTTTGCTGGCAGAATGCTTGGGCCCCCACAGGCGCGCTTGGCATGAGTGACGTCAAGCTGGCCACGCCCACCCTGGCCGCACCCACTCCACCCCCCCCCCCCCCCCAGGTCAATGAAATCTAGTTTGACACCCCTGGACTAGATAGTCATCTGACAGAGATGCTTCAGTACAGTCATTCCCAACTTTTCTGGCTTGGGGATCGGTGGCGGTGGGGGGCGGGAGGAAGAAGAAGGAATGGTTCTTTGAGAGTGGTGGGCAAGCATGCACAGTCAGTTACATTTGCATGAGCGGCAGGCGCACATGCCGCTCACATAAACTGAGCCGCGCACTTGTGTGGCCCAACTTAAAATGGCTGCAGCCTGCTACCATGCTTTGGCCCAAGGATTGGGGACCTGTGCTTTAGTAAATCTTACACTCAAGTTTGTTTAAGGAACTTAAAAACATAGAAAAATATGGTTGGAGGGGACCTTGAAGGTCTTCTAGCCAAATCCCATTTAAGCAGGAGAGCCTACAGGATTATAGACAAATGGCTGTCCAACCTCTTCTTAAAACCTCCAGTGATGGAGCACCCACAACCTTTGGAGAAAAGCCATTTCACTGATCGTTCTCAGTGTCAGAAAGTTTCTTAATTCTAGGTTGGATCTCAATCACACTTGCAGTATCATGCTAGCCTAAAGGTCCTGTGATGACCAGGAGTGTACCACAAACGTAACAAAATCCAAAACGTAAATAAACGTCCTTTAATGCCTCCAACTTGGCCCCACTGTTCAATAATACTCAGTTGGAGATAAAACGTACTCAAAAATAGTCTTCAAAAGAAAATTTAATGAGCAGATAGAGGTGAAATAAAAAAAACACCAAACAAACTACAATGACGAAATTTCCACAACGGAACAGAAGTATTTACCAAATTCAAGGAGATAACAGGGCACAGTCTCTTGGAAGGATGCCAACCAAGATAACTTCAGCCCAAAATAAAACATGCTTTGTTTCCAGCGTTTGCCAGTACGTAAGTCCAAACTCTTATGCAGTTGTCACACTTGCAACACATAAAGAGGATCAAGGCCCTCTCCTCCCGAGTAGACCACATCTCTCCCTTATCCACTCCTTCCTGCATGCCCTAGGATGGTTAGGGGATAGGCCTGGGCTGACTGCTCAGCCGGCCTCTGCCCTTCCCCAGCCTCCTCCACAACCTCTGGAGTCACACTTCCACTCCCTGTCAGCTGTTCCTCCTCTCCCTCAGAGTCAGTCTCCACCAGGGGCATGACAGGTCCCACCCACCCACCCCTACTAACTGCAATGTGCATTGTTAATGTGCATGTATGAGGAAGGAATTTTGCTTCCTTTTACTTCTAAATTCCCTACCAACTATGCTTCTAACTGAAAATGTACGCACCATGAATGGCAGGGCCTCTTTCAAAGGAAACCTCATCTTTCTCTACTCAGTCAAGGGAGAACTTTGCAAAACGATTCTGCAGAGAACAATCCGTCTTACCTCTACGCTGCAGTAGTTACAGACGGAGCATTTAAAGGGTTTCTCCAGAGTATGTTTATATCGCTTGTGGCGGGAAAGTTCCCCCACTGTCACAAAGGCCTTATCACATTCATTACACTTGTGTGGCTTGGTCCCTGCAAAATAGAAGCAGAATTTCAAAATGTATTCAACTGAAACATTTAAATCCAAGTCTACCTGGAATACTGAGGAATTTGTTGTGATAGCGGGCTGTTAGTTTTACATCTACCTAGGCACGGAATCCAGTAAGGTGGAAAATGACTCATCAAACACTTCAAAGCAACCTAGAAATGCTGATAATTTTGTGCATAGGATTAGCATCTTTAAAAAAAAAAGTTAAAATAGCAGGTGGTAGAGATGAGGTAAAGCAACATCAGGTGTGCAGGAGATACTTAGTCCTGATTTTGTTATAGTGGGGAAAATAGAAGGAAGAAGGAAGATTAGACTTGTCTTTCTGCCTTGAGTTATTTTTAAAAATAGTAAAGGCAGGATAAAATTGTAATAAATAGAATACATTAACTTGAGAAATATTAATGTATTGGATGTGATTTACTTATTGAATGTGACTTGTTTTGAAGTGTGAGGATGCATTTGTGCTTGGCAACCAAAAGAACGTAAAGGGAAAAACAGCTAGACTGAATGAAAAACGACAACAAAGTAGTCTATTAAGTATGTCTGGAAAGGAATCTGATAGAATTTGATTCAAAGGGAATGAGAGGGTACGATGAACAATACTGTGAAGAAATTTGGTAAATAAATAATAAACAAAGGTAAACAACAGTGTAGAAATATGATAAATAATAGATAAAGGCAAATAAATAAAAGTGTAGAAATTTGATAAATAAATAAATGTAAATAAAATCTGAAATAACACTATGGCTTTATGCCAGACAGGTTATGCACACCGGATTTTTGCTCTTCAACAGATAACTGAGAAATTTATGAATATGAGGAGAAAAGGTTATGGTCTGCCTGTTGATTTAGAGAAAGCACATTATCTCATAAATAAGCTTGAATTACTGAATGTTTTGAGAGTTGCAAGTTGGTTACAACTGAAGTGATGAAAGTAAAGCAGATATAACAAAGAGTGGAATGCTAAGTAAATTGAGCAAGGATTAATAGTAAGGTGTGTGATAAATCCTTCCTTGTTTATTGTACTTAACGGTAAATGTATACAGCATTTATTTATTTAAGAAAATTTATATAGCCGCCCAACTCTTTCAGTGACTCCTGGGGTTTACAAAGATAAGAATTCTTGTGGTGAGATTGTTTGGGGGCGTGAACCTGCACTTTAATATGCAAATTGTGTCATGTTGGCTGGGAACCTGAATGAATTGCAATGATTCATGGATATGAATATGGATCAAAAATTCACATTTCAAAGCTCAAGGTAGAGTAAAATTTTAATTTAGCAGACATATGTGTTATATCAGTGTTTCTCAAGCTTGGGATCTTTCAGATGTATGGACTGCAACTCCAGAATTCCACAGCCAGCTATACTAGGGAGAATTTTACTTAACTTTTACTTCTAAATTCCCTACCAAATATGATTCTAACTAAAAATGCCAAATGCCAAAATGCCAACATTTTTTTTAGTTTACTTTATTGTCATTGCACCTCATCCAATGACATTAAATGCCATCTTCAGTGTACATTATACATAAAAAATAAAACAAAAACATACATCCTTCACATTCTATACAACTGAATTGAAAACCCCTGATATTGCATTAATATTGCACTATTCCATGAATGGTAGTGCCTTTTTCAAAAGAAACTTCATCTTTCTCTACTCAGTCAAGGGACAAAGTGATTCTCCAGAGAACAATCCTTCTTACCTCTACAGTGCAGTAGCTACAGATGGTGCATTTAAAGGGCTTCTCCGTGTAATCCTTGACTTACAGTTTGTTAAGTGAATTTTGCCTCATTTTATGACCTTTCTTGTCACAGCTGCTGAGTGAATCACTGCAGCTGTTAAGTTAATAACACAGCTATTAAGTGAATCTGGCTTTCCAACGGACTTTGCTTTACCCTGGAACAGTGCAGCTGTCATAAATATGAGACAGTTGCCAGGCACCTGAATTTTGACCATGTGACCATGAGAATGCTGCAATGGTGTGAAAAATGGACATAAGTCACTTTTTTCAGTGCCGTTGTAACTTTGAACTGTCACTAAACGAACTTCTGTAGGTCAAGGACTAGAATGAAATGCAAGCCTGCAATGGCAATAAGATATGGTGAGGCATACTCAATGGTGTTGCTATGAAATAGATTTAGGTGTATTTCCTTCCCTTTTATATCCTTCCTCTACTTTTTTTTTTTTTTTTTGCTTAACACTTCTTAACTCTTTTTTGTTTTCTGCACTTGGCATTATGCTACTTATCCTGAAAGGGAATGAGAGTACATGGGTATGTACATATATAAATAGTTTTTAAATGAAACTACATGCTCACTCTGCCTAATGGTAGGGCTGGTTCTGAAATGGGCAAACATACTAGTGCTCCAATCTCTGCACAAAGATGAAGAAGCGAATCCTTGGCATATCTCAAAGTAGCAAACCCTAAGAAAGTTGGTGGAGAATTTTTTCTGGATGAACTAGTTCTTTAGAGACCATAATTTTAGTCTCAGCTAATCAAGGCTAATCCCTAGCACTGCGTAACGGAGTGAGCTCCCGTTACTTGTCCCAGTTTCTGCCAACCTAGAAGTTTGAAAGCATGTAAAAATGCAAATAGAAAAATAGGGACCACTTTGGTAGGAGGTAACAGCGTTCCATGCGCCTTTAGCGTTTAGTCATGCCGGCCACATGACCACAGAGACGTCTTCGGACAGCGCTGGCTCTTCGACTTTCTAACAGAGATGAGTACTGCCCCCTAAAGCCAGAAACGACTAGCACGTATGTGTGAGGGGAACCTTTACCGTTACTAATCAAGGCAGGCAAAATTTGTTGTTTTCTATACTCACCAATTGGTTAAAAAAAAAAAACAGTCCTTGCAAAATATTCCCAAACAGAAAACTAAAAGATGACTATTTTATGTGAGAGGGATTGTCAGGGTTCTGACAAAGGCCCTAATTAAATCATGAGTTTCAAGCCAAGCTTCAAAAGAAACCCAGTTATTTATTAGGAGCTTCATGCCAGCACGGACCAGTCAGAGCCAACTCTGACCTCAGTTAATTTGTGCTTTGGCTCTGATCCTGCTTCCCCCTCCCCCCAATATGTGTAAACAGTCACATTCCCTAACGAAGCAATTTTGTGGGTTGTAAAAGTACCTCCCTCTGGCCACTGTGGGTTCCCATGGAGATGACCTTGGCATTATCGTTTGGAATGTGCCTTGTTTTGACTGAGATATCAGCTCCTTGATGCAGCAGTGAAGTTCGCTCTCCCATCCCCCTCGGCCATGGCAACTCGAGAGCAGTTCAGGGATGCTTTGCAAGTTGACAGTGATATTTCTAAGATTGGTCATAAAAATAATTGAACAAACTGTAAAGACATGTTCTAGCGAGAGGTTCAATTTACCCGGAAGGCAGACATACCTGTATGAGTGTTCAGGTGGTTGCGCAACAGAGAAAGCGTACGGAAAGCTTTCAGACAGATGTGGCACTGGTGTGGCTTATCGTGGGAATGTTTCTTCATGTGGCGTTTAAGGCCAGACAGACTGAACGTGGTGAACAGACAGAGATTGCAGTGTTGCTGAATGCTTCCTGAAAGAAAGTTGCTGCCTAGGTTAAATAACTCATCAAAAGCCACCTCTCCTTAACTTAAAACACTAATGTTCATCTCTTGCCTTTCACACCCAGATGATAACGTTTATTTATGTATTTGGTAAATTTATATAGCTGCCTGTCTCACTATGACTCTGAGCTATGTATACACAAGACAATAGAATAAAATTACAAAAATCAATAAGATAGAAAACAACAAAAAATGAAGGGGAAAAAAAGAAACAATCTGTGGAAGAATGTGGTCAATTTTTCTAGCAGTACGGCTAGTTTGCAGGTTCCATATCCATGTTAGCAAACTAAAAATTGTAGATCTATCATCTGCACCTCTATAACTGTCTGGTTTGGTTCTGCAACCCAACAGGACAGACACAGATTTCAGAGGATAATTAGGACTGCAGAAAAAAACAATTACTACCAACCTGCCTTCAATTGAGGACCTGTATACTGCACAAGTCAAAAAGAGGGCTGTGAAAATATTTACAAACCCCTCACATCCCAGACATAAATTGTTTCACCTCCTTCCCTCAAAACGATGCTATAGAGTACTGCACACCAGAACAACTAGACACAAGAACAGTTTTTTCCCGACAGCCATCACTCTGATAAACAAATAATTCCCTCAACACTGTCCAACTATTTACAAAGTCTGCACTACTATTACTGTTAATCTTCTCATCACTCCTTATCACCCATCTCCTCCCACTTGTGATTGTATGGCTGTAACTTTGTCACTTGTATCCTTACGATTTATATTGACTGTTTCCTAGTATGATTTGATTGCTTATTGTACCCTATGATTATCATTAAATATTGTACCTTATGATTTTTGACTCTTGACAAATATATCTTTCATGTACACCAGTGGTAGTCAACCTGGTCCCAACCGCCCACTAGTGGGTGTTCCAGCTTTCATGGTGGGCGGTAGGGGTTTTGCCCCCTACTTTATAAATCAACATTACTGTGGAACCGGTGGGCGGTCAGAGAAAATTTTTACTATTAACAGAGATACAAAAGTGGGCGGTAGGTATAAAAAGGCTGACTACCCCTGATGAACACTGAGAGCATTTGCACCAAGCATTTGTGTGTCCAATCACACTTGGCCAATAAAGAATTCAATTCAATTCAATTCAATTCTACTCTATTCTATTTTCTATTCTAGATCCAGGTGGCCTTAAGACCTGGATAGATGACAAAGTCATGTCTTTAGACTGTTCCAGATGGGTTTGCAGCTAATCTGATTTTAGGGGAAATGATGTTCTAAGAGCAAGGGTATCCAATCTTGGCAACTTTAAGACCGGTGGAGTTCCATTTCCAGAATTCCCCAGCCAGCCATGCTTCACCCAGCAGAGTGGATCCTGCGGTCCCAACAATATAGGGACCAAGAGAGAGACTACGAGTATTTGAGGGACTGCCACAAAGAAGAGGGGGTCAAATTATTCTCCAAAACACCAGAGGGCAGGACAAGAAACAAGTGACTGATTGTAAATCAAGGATTTCCTATATTACATTTGCCTGCAATTTTTGCACAGAAGATTGAAATTCATTTAGTAAATATTTTTCTTCCTGTGTCTTTTTCTTTCCTTTCATTTTCAAACTTTGTAATTCTTTTTTTACTCTCTTCGGTCTTTTTGATTTCAGTTTGCATTACCTTTTAATAATGTCAAACGTTTCAAGAAAATGTACTTTAAAAACAAAACACCAAACCACTAAAATGAAATAAGCTTGGTCAATTAAACATTCATTTTGACTGGTTTTTCATGAAATTGTTGATATGGCACTGCAATATTTGCTAGTAAGGAAATGTTCATTTGATTGTCACAGGTTTTTATTGGTGCTTATTCTCATTGCTTCCATTGTTTAAGAAGTCTTGGGAGAACTGTGACAATTCTTTACCCACAAAGTTGGCCTAAACAGATTTATCGTAAGTAAATAATTCCATAAACATAATCCCTGCCTTCTTATATTGCATATTTGTGAGCAGTTCACATTACTCAAAATTGCAAGATGGATGGCTATATAAATTGTTATGACAAGTCAAAGGCAGATGGATTAAGCTTTAGATGGATTTTCGTCTTATTAAGACAAGCACCATCTTGACTTTCTGAATCCCCCACAGATGTTCCTGGATTTAGTGATGTTGTGTGTTGTATCTGAAAGGTAAACTGTTTCACAGCTGCATTCTTTAACAGCTCTTTATTAAATGTTCTCCTAAGTGATGCTAGATTTTGCTTGTAAAATTCAATTACTTATATGTGTTACTTATGTTTGTCGAAGCCCTTTAAAAGGACTACTTCAAAATGACAATTCAGGTATGAGTGTGGTAAAAAAAAAAAGTCTGACATCTGGATTAGGCCGATGCACTAAGTAATCACTGAAAAACCTCTCCACAATTTTATTTCTTCAGTAATTTTTCATTCATTTTCCAATAAACTATTTCTGCTGCATGCCTGTTCTTTAAACCTGTTATACTTAAAACAATTCTGAATGCATTTTCTTCTTTTATTTGTTTATACCGAGTTAGAACAAAGCTCATAAAGTGAGTTCATTCATTTTTCATACTTGCCTGCTACATCTTCGCCCTGTTTAGCGCAACCTAAACAACCTCTTGATTCTGCACAGATCTGAATACCAGACGTGGAACTGGGGAGGTCTAAGTTTATATTTCTATTTAGCATCTGATTTTGACATAAAAGCATCTAATCCCCCTTACCTTCCATTTGAGCAGTGCTATCCGCCAATCCTTGAAATGGCAAGATATTATTCTGGCAAGAAAAATGCTGTCTCACCACTGAACCTTATCTTGTCTCTCCTGCCTATCCCAAGTTACTCCGGGGCAGTGTTTCTAACCTTGGCAAGGTTAACATGTATGGACTTCGACTCCCAGAATTCCTAACTCAGCTGGGAGTTGAAATCGGATATCTAAAAATTGCTACGGTTTAAGAAACCCTACTCTAGGGCTTGAGTTTCCTTGCAGGTGAATGGGTGACAAACTAAAGGTATTTTATAAAACTTGAGGCTACCCTTGGTACAGCCTTGGAAGAAGAAAAATACTGCAACCCTGAAGTTAAGGAGACTTGCGTTTGTCTCACTTGTGGGCATGGGATGAATTAAAAGCAGCTGTTAGGTATAACATTGATACCAAATATGGTTTGGGTGAATAAATATATAAAACTTAGATATCATGGTTTAAGTGCTTATCACTTTAAGCACAATGCAGCAGGCAATTAGCCGATTAAGGGTGCGGTTAGAAGTTACAATATAAGGAAGCATTAGAAGCTGGAAAGCTGACTGTAACTGTGTGCTGCTGTGACTTACTGTGTGTCACTGCGACTAACTGTGATTACTGACTGTGAGTGCCTGTGACTGAACTGTTATTGTTTGCTACTGTTTGCTGTTTACTGCGTAATTCTACTGAATATCCAGCGTTTGTTTCTCTGGAGAGTGAAACCGGAGGAGAAGAAGATATCTTTATCGGCTGATAAAGATATTGCAAGGACTCTTAACTTGGACTATACTAGTGAGTCTTACTGGATGGAAATACTGTGAATGATTTAATGGACTGAATGACAATGCTTAAACTCTAACTGGATTAAAAACTATTTAAACTACAAACAGTGTTTGTGTTCAGTGTGTGTATACTCTGGGGCCCTTCCGCTCTCCTTTGGTTGCCTGGCTTGACTACTGCTGCAATACTCTTCTAGGGGTTAATTCCCAAACCCTAACAGCAGCATTTTGGGAACATGCCTCAGAAAAGACGCTGGCAGGCTATGTACTTTGTACAGAGTTTGTACTACTGTGATGAAGAAAGATTCTCAGTCTTAACTACACCATAGAGCAATTACAAGAGGAGAGGAAGAGAACTAGTTCCCTCTAAGGCAGAGTGTGTCAAACTCAAGGCCCAGGGACCAGATCTGGCTCTCAAGGTACTTAGATCTGGCCCGCGGGACGCCCTGGAAACAGCAAAGGACCGGCCCACGGTGCCTCTGCCAGTGAAAACGAAGTAGGCAGCCCTCCCAAACTCTGTTTTCACTGGCAGAGGGTTACAGGAGGCTGTTGCAGCTGAAAACGGAGCTTCGGAGCTCGTTTTCGTTGGCAGAGCGCTCGGGCCACCACAGGTGCCCCCAACACGAATGATGTTGAGGTGGCCACATCCCCGCAGTCAAACACAACCCTGATGCAGCCCTCAATGAAATCGAGTTTGACACCCCTTGTCAAAGGTATCAGACTGAAAATCAGGAGACTGGGAGTTTGAGTCCTGCCTTAGGCATGAAAGCCAACTGGGCGACTTTCGGCCAATCCTCAGAAGACTCTGAGTTCTAGTCCCGCCTTAGGCATGAAAGCCAACTGGGCGACTTTCGGCCAATCCTCAGAAGACCCTGAGTTCTAGTCCCGCCTTAGGCATGAAAGCCAGCTGGGTGACTTTGGGCCAATCCCCAGGAGACGGTGAGTTTTAGTCTCTTCTTTGGCCAGCTGGGTGACTTTGGGGCAATCATTTCTTTTCAGCCCATTTCACCTCACAGAGTTGTGGTTGTGGGGAAAATAGGAAGAGGAAGGAGCATTAGATACATTCAACACCTTGACATTATTTACAAAAACAATAAACGCAAGCTAAAAAAAGTCTAAAATAAAAATAAAAGGAAGAAATGAAACCATATATGCAGGCTTTTGCTTCTTAGAAGAAGGATGGCACACAAACATAACAAATCATAAACAAATATCAAGAGTTGGAGAATAATAATGAGAACTGCCCTAGAGGACAGCTGTACCCTAAGTAGATAGATCAAGACTTCTTATTCAAGGCAATAAACTAAACAATTAACCTAATACAGTACCAAAAGATTGGTCATTGTTTGAGTTTCTTATGACCTTGGTAAGTTACAAATAAAAGAAAGCATTCTGTAGTATGGATTTTCCTACACGTGAGCTCCAATAATTCATATTTCTATAGTTTTATTGAGTAGTCAATTGACCGTATTATCAACACTCTTAACAGTAAAAACATGAATTCAGGCTGAGTTACCTACACATAGATAATTACAGGTAGTCCTCGAGTTACAAGCACATTTGAGCCCAAAATTTATGCTGCTATGTGAAACATTTGTCAAGTGAGTTTGCCCCATTTTATGACTTTTCTTCCCACAGTTGTTAAGTGAATCATTGCATTTGCTAAATCAGTAACATGGTTGTTCACTGAACCTGGCTTCCTCATTGACTTTGCCGGTCAGAAGGTCGCAAAAGGGGATCGCATGGGACACAGCAATGGTCATAAATATGAACCGGTTGCCAAAAGTCTGAATTTTGATCACGTGACCCTGGGGAAACACTGCAATGGCCGTTAAGTGTAAAAAATGCTCCTAAGTCTCTTTTTTCAATGCCGTTGTAACTTTGAACGGTCCCTAAAAGAAACTGTTGTAAGTCGAAGACTACCTGTATGGGGAGATGAATTCAAAGACAAGTTAAGGAGGAGGAGAAGGAGGAGAAGCAAACATTGTTAAGAACTTCTCTGCTGATTGGAGTGAAAGTCCACCTACTTTCCTAACAACAGCTTGCAGCCTGCTGCTGATGTCAGTATTCTTCAAGGAACTGGAAGTTCTTCCCTTTACAACCATAGGTATCTAAAAAAAAAACTGTGCAAGTTATTTTATACCTTTCCCTTGCTGGACTATGCCCTCTTGGATTTCTGAAGAAACGTCACCGTTGATTGCAACAGGAGGTTGGGATACACGGTCCTTGCTCGGGGTTTTATTTTCAGAATTGTGCAATCGTGTGGCTCCATTTGGAATATCTGCTGCTTCGGAGTCAGGCAGAGAGATAATCCTTCCCTCTTCAGCTACAAGGAGCTGCTGGTCCCTGTCTCCACCTCCAGCTCTTTTTTCTTCTCTATCAACCTGTGTTTAAAGGAGCAATATATGTGCATGAAACCAATCCAATTTCAATGGGGGGCAGCATCCATGACCAAAAAGATAATTTCTTATACCGTATCATTTAGAAGTTATAGCAATGATATTTTTTTTTTGCTTTATTTGTTTAATAAAACACAACAAAGGGAAGGTGAAAGAGAGAATAAATAATAATAAAGAGAGAGAAAGGAAGAAAAAAAACTACACAACGAATAGAAAATTCTCATCTCTTTCTTGGTATATTTACGACTTATTACTCAGTAGCCATTACAATGAACCCCCCCCAAAAAGGAACTTATCACCTGGTTTTGAAATTCTGACATCTGGCCCCCACAGTCATATGGTCCACATTTTGGATTCTGGGTAAAACAATTATGACCGTTTGCAGCACCTTGAGGTCACCTGGTTACAATTTACTATGTTTTTGCCTGTAGATTATTGTAAAAATCTTTATATGGTACATTTCTAATGGGAAAAGCCTGATCTTAAAGAATGTAAGTGGCGCATTGGTTAGAATGCAGTACTTACTGTAGGCTGCTTCTGCTGACTGCCGGCTGCCTGAAATTTGGTAGATCGAATCTCACCAGGCTCAGGGTTGACTCAGCCTTCCGAGGTGGGTAAAATGAGGACCCAGATTATTGGGGGCAATAGGCTGACTCTGTAAACCACTTAGAGAGGGCTGTGTAAGCACCGTGAAGCGGTATATAAGTCTAAACGTTATTGCTAAGTGCTATTCAAAAACAGAAGCCAGATGTTCCACCACTAATAATGTTCTCCCAAAAGAGAATGGGACATCTTGCCACAGCCAACTCACCATGGGCAACTTGGTGCAGGACAACTCTCCATGGGCAATTCACCGCGAGACTACTCATTACGGGACAATTTAATAATTCTATTTAATTATTTAAAATAAATAAAAAATATTTTAATTTTTGCCATTCATATTTCATCCTGTCCCTTCTTTTGCATCCTTTAATGATTCCATTCCACCTTTTCTTTGATATTAGTATAACTCTTGTCCTGCAGTGAGTTGGCCGTGGCGAATTGTCATAGACCCCTCTCAAATATCCCATTGATCATCCACTCTCCCCTGAAATTTTCAGAGGAGTCAGTTCTGTTTTGGTGATGTATTTTAAAATTTATATACTTGGGTCTGTTGTTTTAGCCATGGAAATTTTTAGCAGATATGGATAATAAATCTTTCAATGAATACCTGGCGACTGTGTAGTGTAAACAGAAACTTATTTAAATCTGAATTTTCTACTGCTGAAGACATTTATTCCTTGCTGCAATCAGGAGACAAAGCCTTTGCAATAATTCTTCAACCTTATTTGTTCCATCAGGAATGCAGAAAAGAAGTGTCTGTTTGCTGGTGGGTGGCATCACTTCCACAAACATTTCACATCTGTTCACTGCTTGCAAGATACCAGACTTAGATTTATAGACTTCATGCTCTTTTACGAAAATGTCAGAGCGATTTGTATTAAGAATCCTCATGCTGGGTTCACTGGACATCTATATCAAGGGCTATGCAGTGATCTGATTCAGAAGGGACACTGGCATTTGGAGAACCCAAGAGGGCTCACATTATGCTTGTTGGCATCGCCTCCTTAAATCAAATCTGTTTTTTCTTGGGACAGACCCCCAAGATTTCAAGGACAGGAGCAGCTCCTGTAAAGACTTGCTGATGGGTGCCATGTGAATATCCTTGTGTGCACTGAATTTCCTTTTCCCCTTCAGATCTGTATTGTTGCTCCTCTTACAGTTTCTTTATGCAAATTGTTTTATTTATATCACTCTACCGCCGTGATGGTGAACCTGCGGCACACGAGCTATCGTCCCAGTGCAGTTTCACTGCGCGAGTGCGCAAGTGCCTCCTGACAGCCAGCTGATTGTCGGGTATCTGCTGCGCATGCGCGGGGTGCATGTGGGAGATGTGCATGCATGTGCAGGGAGGTGGGGGAGTGCAGGGGGTTCACGTGCATGGAAATGGGGGAGTGCAGGGAGTGCATTGCATTATGGGTGCAGGCACACTTTCAGCACACAACAAAAAGGTTACCCATCACTGCCCTAATGCATAGCAAAACCAATCAGATTACCCCATTCTTTGCACCTTAAGGACAAAGCTCAGATACTCAGATCTGCAAATTGCCAGAACCACCATCATAAGATTTTTTTTTCAGATTTATATATTAAAGTTTAATATATAAATGCATTAGCATTTGTGAACCTCATGAGATGCATAGTGTCTACTATCACGCTAATATTGCTCTCTCTCTCACTTCGACACAAAAAAAAGATAAACAAAAAAAAGCATACTTTCTTGCTTAACAACAGAAATTCTGGTCCCAATTCTGGTCCTTGGTGCTCTGAGCTTGAAGACGTTTTATTACCCAAACTATGTAATATCATCAGTGCTGGTAAGGAGTGAGATTTGCTCTCAGTTTATTTTCTAATGGCATACCTCAGGGGTGTCAAACTCATGGGGTACTTCGATATGGCCCACAGGGCCACCCTGGACACAGCGAAGGATTGGCCCACAGTGCCTCTGCCAGTGAAAACGGAGCTCTGGAGGGCCGCAGGCTGCAGGAGGCTGTTGCAGCCAAAAACGGAGCTCAGGAGCCCATTTTCACTGGCAGAGCGCTCAGGCCATCATAGGTGTCCCCGACGCAAATGATGTTGCGCTGGCCAGGCGCATCCTGGCCCAGGTTCTCCCTAGCACCCCAATGTCAAACACAACCCTGATGCGGCCCTCAATGAAATCACGTTTGACACCCCTGGCTTACCCTGTCAATGTTGGTGAGGGTAGCCTTAGAGGTTCTTTGGTTGGACTTGTTTGGCAGTTCCTTGATTGGAGTATTGTCTACTTGATTGTTGGTCTGATGATAATCTTGGAGTTAATCTATGCTCATCTGGATGCTGATTGCTGGTGGGGAGGAGTTTCAGTCTTTTTGTTCCCATTCTGGCTTGCTGATCGTCTATTTTGTGTAGTATATAGACAATTGTTTATGCCTACGTGTCTATTGATGGTAATTTGTCAGAGTGCCAGGCTTCTAAAAATTTCCTAGCATTTTTAGATTTCCCAATTGAAGCTATGGTTAAAACTGTCCTTATGTTGTGAAACTATAAACTGGGAGCAGAACCCATTCCTTACTAGCCCTGATCAGGAGTGGGCTTCAAAAATTTTAGCAACGGGTTCTTTGCCCGGTTGCTGGGTGGGCGTGGCCATGGTGGGCATGGCCTAGTCAGCCTCCTGTTCAACACAGGAGGCTTTCCTCGAGCCTCCGGGAGGGCGATAATGGCCTCCCCGGGTTCCAGAGACTCTCTGGAAGCCAGAAACGGGCCCATTTCTGGCCTTCCCAAACTTCCAGGAGGCCCGTTTTCCTCCCTCCCCGAGCCTCCGTGTGCGCCCTGCACTTATCTGCAGCCAAAACGGGCCGTGTGGAGACTCCTGGGAGAGGCGGGGCGGGCAGGGCCAGCCAGGAGTGGGGTTTGGGGGTTCTCCGAAATGCACAGAATCTTAGCTAGGGGTTCTCCCAACCCCCTGTGAACCCCTAGCAGCCCACCCCTGGCCCTGGTGTTACCTAGTTAGTGTAATGAAACGTCTGCAAGAAAACAACCAAGTTCAGAGAGCACCAAGGACCCCTTATTTCAACCCTGAGCTACATTCTTCTTCGTTGCTACCAATTATTATCATAAATTGAGACCCAAGTGTGATGAATAATCAAGAGCAAAAGTTACCTGAATCCCAGGAATATTTGGATCCCTCTCAATTGACCATCTCCCCTCATGAAGTCCTGGTGTTTCATTTGGACCGTTGATCACTTCTATCTCGTGGAGTGCATAAATGTCTTCTGGCAAACTTATGGCCAAGACTTTCCCTGGTTTCTCTTGAATGTCTATGCTATCTGGCATTCTCACCAACGAGTGGATGAAGTCTGCCTCCCTTCGTAACATAGTGTGCAGCTCCACTGGGTGATCAATTAAACAAGCCCCCTGGATATTATCTTTCTCTGTTTTCAAATGCACCGTCTTCAGCAAAATGAGGTTCTTCTCGCCTTCTGAAGATGATGGGGGCCATTTATCAACTTCTTCCAGCAATTTCTTGAACAAGATGGAATGGACATCTTCGATCTTCTCTGGATAGTTACCGCTACCCACTTGTCCAAAGGATATGTTTTCCCTTTGCATTTTGTTCTGGACACTTTTGTCATTTTTGATTTGAATTAAATGCTCCTCAGATTCTGTGTCCTCCTGGTGATCCATTGTGGTCTTTAAAAAAAGGACTGGAAGAAACCCCAAAGGAAAGATTTAGGGGGAGGTAAGATTTTCCTAGAAGTACAGTACCACCCTCCCTGCCCCCACTTAGCTAGTTTTAGTTTCATTTTAAGAATCAAATCAAAACATGAATGGGAAGCTGGAGCCTCTAACATTCTTCCTTATTTGCATGGATGGCTTTGAGTCCCATATTCACTGGAAAAAAAATCCTAGAAAATGAAATTAAGTGGCTGTAAGTAATGCAATGCTTTGCTCACAAATGAACCTTGCAAAAGTGACTTAAAATAGTCAAGAACACAGCAAGAGGTGATGGAGTAGAGGAGCAGGTAACTTTCAGATAAATGATCTGCTGACCATGCTAATTATCATAGACATGTTATGAACCAACATGCCATCCAAATGTCGACCATTACCTATCTACCAGATCTGAATTGCAAATATCCAGTCAAACCAGGCTAAGAGTTATAGCTTTCTCTTTACTTCTATCTTATGATTGTCCACAATTCTATCCCCATATTTGGTAAACTTAGTAGAGGGACCAGTAAGAAAAATTTCAATAGCTTACTAGGACTGGGCCATTTTTCAACACGAACTCACTGATGGCGCAATGATTAGGATGCAGTATTGCAGGTTGACTCTGCCAACTGCCAGGAGTTCGATCCTGACTGGCTTAAGGTTGACTCAGCCTTCTGTCCTTCCGAGGTTGGTAAAATGAGGACCCAGATTGTTAAGGGCAATATGCTGACTCTGTAAACTGCTTAGAGAGGCCTATAAAGCACTATGAAGCAGTATATAAGTCTAAGTGCTACTGCTATCATCTAGGTTCTAACCTTGGGTCAGGATGGTATTTTGTTTTTTTAATCCTTTAGAGCTTTTAAAAGGAAACGCTAAACGATAAAATCGTATCTCCCTGTTTTTTGTCCTCCTTTGGCAACCCTCCAAACTAAATGAAGTTCTTGGCTATAAAAGTGCACTTTCTATTTTAACCTCAGGGACAAACACTTTACAAGGCATAATTTATGTACTGTACAGTAACATTAAAAATCTTCCTCATCCACCTGAAACAGCTGTCGGGGAAAGTAAAATTTATTTTCCTTTTCCTACAAAAACTCAAAAGCATAACATCACTTGTCCTGATTTGCGAGCAAAACTCAAACATCAAGGTTAATTATTAAGAATTTGATCTTTTTTTTTAAAAAAGAGGCCCAATTCCTAATTTTTTACTGTCTCTAGCACAACTTCAACTTTAATTCCGTCTCATATTTTAGAAAGGTCAAATTAGGTTCTCAACATTAATTGATCTCACATGCTGGCAACACACATTCATTTTTTTAAACTGGATTATCTCTAAAGCGGTAGGAGTCCTTGTGATCTTTGCTCTGTCTAATCCTCAAACTCGCACTTCTTTTTTTTCAATTATGTTCTTTTAATTACTTTGGCTGCCTACGGCAAATTAAAAGGGGAAAAAATCGCTAGAGGGCGAACAGTTTTTTTTAAAATATGTATTTCATTTGATTAAGATTTTACTATGCCCCTAACATAACCTGCTTTAATACCACCAGAAACTCCCCTGATTATTATTCCTCTGTTTAGAACCGGTTTTTTTTCCAGTTTCTCAAATTCAATAACATACTTTAATTTCTCTTTTTGTTTATACCCGGTTTTCAAATTATTTTGAATTTTCAATCTTCCAGATCCCATCAACTGAGCAGTTTTCTTTAGAAGCAATACTTCCCATCTTGCACCATATTTTATTTTTAAAAGTGTTTTGCAGGGTCTCATTTTATAACTGCACGCGCGGGGTGTGTTTCACTCCCCATACATTTTTACATCTTGCTTTCCGATTAATTCCTAATCCGTAACGTGCGAATGCGATTTGAATGAACCCGTGCTGAAGCAATTGATTCCACCGGACTTTAAACATGCCTTCATGGCGCCTTAAAATTCATTTCTAATGAAATCGGGCGAACTTTCGAAATAAACAGCGCGCACGTTTAGACATCCGTGGGAAATTCCTATTTTAACTCGGTTCCTGACGCAGGGCATCCAGAGTTTCCGCGCACCGGGCAGTATTTCACAGTATTTACTCGGAAGAAATACCTAATGGATTACTCCTCTTAATCCCCGTGAATACTTACTGTGGAAAAATACTGAGATTTACTTCCAAGCAATTAGGCATAGAAAACTCCCCACCTCAAATCCTCTGCCCTTCTGCCTGAATCCCTTACTTCCCGACTTTTCCTACAATTTCCAGATTTTCCCCTCCCTCCAAAGCCACAAATTAACTTCGCATAGATCTGCCCCCATCCCCCCAATTTTTATTCTGATCACTTCCCGCCCCCAATCTGAAGGATGGCCCCGGACCCCCCTCCATCCTGAAAGCACACACACAAAAAAAGACCCACAATTTCTCTTCTTCTTCCAGCATGGCGAATTGTCTGTGCAGAAACCCGAGGCTTCTTCCCACCCTCCCAAACGTTGCAAACAAACGTTGCAATCTGGTTTGTTCGGGACGCAGTCCAGTCTGTTGCACGTTTCTTGGGAGAATGGGTCCCTCCAATCCCGTGAGTGTGTGTGTGTACAGCGCTGAAAGATAAAGGAAGCTTAGATGTTGTCCACCAACGTGTAAATGGGTGTGTAAATCGGGGTTCACTCCTGTGCAAAACTACTTGGAAATTTCATTCAGCTCTGTGGAGGAAACATTCACAGACTGGAACTGTCTGTGTGCTGCTTACTCACAAGTAAGCAATTGGCATTGTCCAGCTAAAATCCTGAACAAATATCAGTCATGGGTTCATTCAGAATTTTATTAGGAAGTTACCTTCTAAGCTAGTGGGACAATTATCACAGAAAGCATATTTTGAGCCTAAACGGGAAGCAAAAGGTTTTGATACCAAGGGGTGGTGAGGATTTGTTGGGTCTTCAAAGAAATTGCCTTTCTTCATCATTAGAACTTCATTCCAAGGTGCACAGACTTGTCTCTTGTGGCAGTGTGTTTAATGGGAAGTGCAATTAAATTCACTATGGATCCAGGGATAATTTTTCTCTGCAAAGAAAGCTCAGGACGAACCTGGATCACTGTGTTGATTTTCAGGCATGCCAGTGGAAAGGGGAACTCCACAACAGCTGCAGCTTGTGGAAATCCTATGGGCCTAGATGCTTCAAAAGATTGAAAATTTGCACATCTTTACAGTCATAAATGAGTGGGCGTGTTTATTATAGCCAGATCTTTTTATAATATCCTTCCTGCTTTGTAAATATGGCCACTTAAACCTTGCCCCCAATGGTGACAACAGGAAGGTAGAATAATATTGTATTCCCAACCAGGATCATCTCACTGTGTGTTCTGGGACAGAAGTCAAGGCTGTGGCACACCCTGGATTCTGTGGGAACTTGCAGTGGTTTTTGTGAAAGACTAACAAAGAGTGGGGGGGGGGGGGGATCACTAGTCCAGTCACTTTTCAGTCACTGTAACTTTGCATCTTGAATCACAGGTTCTGGGTTTGGTTTTTTTAACTAACAGGTTCTGCAGCCTGGAAAAGTTTGAGCACCTCTGCCCTAGAGCACATTTGACATCTCAGTCTTACGGAGCTACTTGTTAGAAAGCAACACTTCCCTGCTTCCACCAGCAATTATAGATAGTTTGCAATGAGTTACTGAAATACCAGGAATATTGCAAAATTTGTAGATGTAGAAATGGCTGTCAGGAATGTCCTACAAAACTGAGCACAGTTTTCACCATTATTAGGCAATCTAATATCCTGGTATTATTCCTCTTCTGGATTGCATCCAATTGCATTGGCTCACCAGGGCAAAGGATTTATTCTCCTCTAGCATTGTCCTTTTGTCCCACCAGCATTGTGTTGTGGCGCCTTAACCCGGCATTAATGTTTCCAGGAAACTTTGGGATGTGTTCTAAATTCTAGGCTGCAAAAATGACTAATGTTAAAGAATATTTGCTTCTATAGTCCTGCTCTCCTGCCTTAAGTATATCTTTTAGGACAGGGGTGTCAAACTCAAGGCCCGCAGGCTGGATCTGGCTCGTCGGGTGCTTAGCTCTGGTTCGCGGGGCTGCTCTGGAAACAACGAAGGTCCAGCCCACGGTGCCTCTGCCAGCGAAAACGGAGCTCGGTGGGGCTGCGTGTGGCCCTTGCAAGCTCCATTTTTGGCCACAACAGCTTCCTGCAGCCCTCTGTCAGCAAAAACAGAGCTCGGGGGAGGGTCAGTTTTCTCTGGTAGAGATTTGCAGGAGGCTGTTGTGGCCAAAAACTGAGCTCGGAAGCCTGTTTTTGCTGGCAGAGCACCTGGGCCATAGGTGCTTTCAACACGAGTGACCATGCCTACCCTGGCCATGTTGGTCAAGCTGGCCATTCCCATCCTGGCCAGGCCAACCCCGCCCCCCTGAGGTCACATACAACTCTGATGCGGCCTTCAATGAAATCAAGTTTGACACCCCTGTTTAAGGGCCATGTTGGCTGAGGAGTTCTGGGAATTGAATTGCACACACACCTTAAACTTGCCAAGCTTGAGAAAGACTGAATTTGGTGTCACTGTACCCATTGAACAACTATGATTAGCTTCAACATCATTCTCTTTTACAATATTTCTGCAGCATTCTGAGCCTATGAGTAATCTGGTATTTGTGAAAGCATATACAGTGCAATAGTTGTTTTCCATTAGTCCATGTTCTAGAGTCAGCAATTGCAAAAACACCATTTGTAAAACCTTTGGCTCTATTTCTGAGTGACTCCACTTCAAAGCTGTTTCTGTTCTTGCTGCAATTCCCATTGGTATTTTATATATTCTCCACAAAACCTTCCTTTTTCTTCTGTTCACTGATAACTGATGAACACCGCTAAATCAATCAGAGACCCACTTAACTATAGAAGTGGGGCCAAAAGGGTAAACCACAATCTTTTAACAAACTAGAGAACCTCTTCTGAACAAGATTGACCAAAATCAGTTATGTAGTTTCCTTCCCTTTTGAGGTAGATCTCAACCAGCAACTATTATTCTTCACTGTACATCTTTCCTTGGATATAGTCATATAAAATAATCCTCACTAACCTAGAGTTCACTGACCATATCACCTGCCTGATGCTTCATTTTATTTTCTCTTTATAAACCTGGTTATTTATCTTTTCAGAATTTGTTTGCTAAGAGTTCAAAATTACATATAGTAAAGGAGAAAAAGGATAGATATCCATGCCTTATACCTTTACATATTGAAAAACGTGCGGAAAAGGTTCCATTCATTATAGTATTTGCTTTTTATTGTTGATATATAACTTCTATCCTGGGTTTTAAATTCTTCTCTGGGATTCATTTTATTTAGAACCTTTGAAAAAAAATAACCATTCCAAGTTATCAAAAGCCTTTTCTGCATCTAAAAATATTGCTGCTGCCTTCTTTGTCTTAATCTGGATATATTCTGATTATTGGTGGGACTCAAAAATTTTTACTACTGTTCTGTGGGCACGGCTTGAGGGGGCATGGCTTGGTGGGTGTGGCAGGGGAAGGATACTGGAAAATCCCATTCCCTCCACACCCCAGTAACCTGCTTTCCAGTTCCGTTCTCCTGTGCAGGGCAACAAAAGAAGATTCAGCCAATCAACTGGGACTCGGGAGGCAGAGAATAGATGGGGGCGGAGCCAGTCAGAAGTGGTATTTGCCAGTTCTCTGAACTACTCAAAATTTCCGCTACCGGTTCTCCAGAACTGGTCAGAACCCGCTGAATACCACCTCTGATTCTGATGCATTTATGATAAATTTGTTGTCTAACATCTTCCTCTCTGGAATATAGTCTGTCTGATCTCCTTGGGTCAATCTAGGAATGCATTTCCTAGTCAGTGTAGTGGTAAATATCCTGTAATCAATATTCAGTAGAGAAATTATTTAGTCTGTCATTCCTTTCTTCTGTATTAAGATGATATATACGTCTTGGGCACTGTTTCGGTTGTTTGAATTTCATTCATTATCTTTACTAGCCATTCCATCAATTTGTCTTCTAACTTTTGTAATATTGGGCCTTTGGCCCATCTGGGCTTATTGCCTTCATAATTTTATTTTTTAATGCCTTGACTGAAAATTTGTTTTATGCTCCACTGGTTATTTTCCTTCTCCCTGTCAGGATGAAAGTTTATTGCTCCCCAACTTGTAGTTAGCACATTAGGTAATTAAGGAAATCAGTTTCCCAAATGAGCAATTGATAATGCATTTAGTTTGTTGGTCCTGCTATTCCTTGGAAGGATTATTGTGTAATATGGTTTATGTATAAGCAAGGGCTTACTGGGATATTATCAACCCTTTTATATACTCAAAATCAGCTAACCTAGAGGGAAGATTTATTTGAGTTATGCTGAGTTGCATTTGGTAATTAGTGATCATAGGACAATAGAACTTTAGAAGTATCCAATATTTACCTTTGCAGTCACAGTAGAATAACAAGCCTGGAATGTACCTGAAGGATTTCAGTGCTTTACTCCTGGTTTAAACAATGTCTGCTATAACTTCACCATTAGAGCCACGGTGATACAAGTGCTTAGAATGCAAGCACTGCAGGCTACTTCCCCTGACTGCCAGCTGCCTACAATTTGGCAGTTCGATTCTCACCAGCCCAAATGAGGACCCAGATTGTTGGGGGCAACATGCTGACTCTGTAAACCACTTAGGGAAGGCTGTAAAGCATTGTAAAGCGGTATAAATATTGACTATCAGAAGGTATAGTTTTTTTCTACATGTTAATCAAAGTCTTTCTGAATCCAAATTAACTGTGGTGATCAATTCAGTGGTAATCAGGAAGATTAGCTAGATTAGATTAGCAGCTAGAAGATAGTATCGCCCTGCCCTCCAGCTGTTACAAGCCCATGAATGAGGAAAAAATCCCCTAAAAATAAAATAGCTGATATCATGAAACCTTCACTTTTGATAATGCGAAAAGGCAAATGAGACAATTGAACTTATTTTCAGGCAGATCTATTTCACATTTTTTTTACCATAGATGTAAATATAAGTAGCTTGATTTGGATCAACCTGTGATAGGTACAGATGTTTTGGAGGTGGTGGGCATATTTGAAATGTTGCAAGAATGTTGTGGGAACTCTTCAGAAAAGGCTGCCGTGGGGAAGCTTCCTGGTTCATAAAATTGCTGCTGTTGTAGGTATAACAAATGACTCGCACCAGCAAACAATTCCATGACATTGCTCTCGAGCCTGTCCTGGTTGTTGTCTTCCACAGCAGCTTGCAACTTGCTGTTGGTTTTGGTTTTTTTTTAATTATTTTATTTTAACTAGACAATTAAACACAGTTCCTAAGAACATGCAATGTGGCAGTTAGCCATAATTTTTTATATTTTCTAAATTGCTTATATCCTCTTAAAATTATGCCAGAGATTAGTGATTTGTTTGGCAACCTACCAGAGGAAAATCTCCAGCAAAAAAAAAAAAAAAAAAAGATTGTGGAATATTTTAATTCTTTAATATAGGATTTGTTTATACAAATGTTTGTTTTACAATTACAGGCTTGGGCTTTCTCCCTCCTTGCAAATAGAAGTATCTGTAAGGAAGAAACAGAATATATTTTAACATGGGATATGTTTTATCAAAGATTGGACGAAAGAAGTAGAAATTAGAGAAGGAAAGATTACTGAAATATATAAATAAATGAAGTAAAAAAATATTATAAAAAGTATATTGCGGTATTTTAACTATGGATATTGTTATAATTACTATTTTTATTACTAGTCTATTAATACTCTGTATAAACAAACTGATCCAGACAATACACTCTTTATTAAGCACCTATGCATTTTAAAGAAGAAAAAAATGTATAAATAAAAATCATAAAAAAGAAGTATCTTTTATAGCCTTCCTTCCTTCCTTCCTTCCTTCCTTCCTTCCTTCCTTCCTTCCTTC